TCAGGACTCACAGACGGTCGGGGACATGTATCATAACATGTATGATCTATGTACAAAATTTGAATGAAAACTGACAAAGCATGTCCAAAATACGACATTTTCAAAAAACAAGATGGCTGCCAGTCGGCCATCTTTGATCCAATTGTGAAATAAATCATCATGGACATGTATCCTAACATGTATAATCTATGTACCAAGTTTGAATGAAAACTGACAAAGCATGTCCAAAATACAACATTTTCAAAAAACAAGATGGCTGCCAGTCGGCCATTTTGAATCGAATCGCTAAACCACTGCATGTGCATATGTCCCACATAAAGTACTAGGCACATGCAAAGAATGAACAGAATCGGTCCAAGGGATTCTGAGATATGACTCCGGACGGACGCACGGATGCACGGACACACGGACGGACGGAGACCGAATTATAAGTCCCCGTTTTCGGACTTCGTCCAAACGGGGACTAACAAGATTAGCCCTACGTGTGTAACATATATGAATTTGGTTGTTCAGGATTACTTCAAAGTTGAGTTTGTGTTGTTTTCTCGAGTTTTCACCGGCTCCACCGGCGTTCCACAGCAGCGCGCACAGAGCTCATAGAAATACGTGGTACAGTGGTGCGCGTCTTAGCAATGTAGAACGTCCGTGACGTAGCTCCGCCCCCGAGGATAGGTTTGACTATATATAAATGGCATGTAAACTTATTGTATGGAAATGTGTGGTTTGCGAACACCATCAAAACAGCCATGTGCCTGAACTGGAGCTGCACTTCTACTGAATACAGTATTCATAAAATAATCATGTTACCTCGTGTAGCCCTTTGTATATAAGCAGTAGTGCCATCTTCTAGTTGAACCGTCTGTCCTTCTTCAAAACCTGTATCGCCATCTATCATTGAGAACAGAGTAATCATTATACTTCATCTTATACACTTCAAATGTTTCTAAGATATAAACTGATTTCACAGATTCAATTTGGAGTGTTTTCTTTATGGCAGCTTATTTGCATGTTAAAAGTGCTCAATTTGAATATGACAACTCATTACTTCCTTTACTATGAATGTATATTTAGCGTATCATAATTTCCTTGTTAAATTCAAACTAGAGAAACTTCAATGAATCTGAACACAAAAACATGTATTATTCTCAGAAGCGATATTAGGATGATTCAGTCACTTCAGTGATTTACTATGTACCACTCTAAAGCTAGTATATGGTAGCTAGCTCTTACCTTTCTCTGTGATATGTTGAATGTAAGCTGTACTACCATCTTCTAACTGAACAGCCTGTCCTTCTACAAGACTGCCATCTGAATTAAAACACAATTTAATGTTTAAGTAAGACAGTAATAATGTACACTTTCCTGTCAAACAAGTAGGCATAGCAACAAGATAGTTAATGATAAATATTCTAACAGTCAGATACACGTAAAAACTTGTATAAATATTTTGATTGGTCAATACATAGACATGTGATCA